GGTCCATTTACGTGGTCACTGTAGTTTGTTTGTTGTTATTATTCTCTGCTGTATTATTATTTTTCTTTTATTGTTCACCCATATATACTGACTGCAAAGCACCAAGCACTTTATGATTGACGTTTAACTTATTGTCCAATGTAGGTACTGTACACTCATTTTTATATTAACTGTGTCTTTGTTACATATCTGAGCTAAGCTGTTTATGTCTGTTTGTCGTGTTTGTTTAAAATTTGAAAAAATCAATAAAAATATTATTGAAGAAGAAGTGGCATCCAGAAATGGATTTCGGCCTCGTTTCCTTTTGTGTTGAGATTTGCCTCTTTTCTCAAGTTTTATTAAATGTGCTGCTGGCATCCGACTTTAAATGGACACATACTGTATTGACTATTAACACCTGATTTGTTGTTTTTGCACTGTTCTCAATTCCAAATCGGATTTAATGATTTGCAAACCATCTTTTTTAATAAACATTTTGTGGTCTTGGCTTTTTCAATTGGGGTTGTACTTTATCTTTTGTCAGATTAGACTATGCTGTCTGCATTTATACTGAATAATGGTTATTGCTTTTCTACAAAAAAACAAATAAGCAAATTTTAAATACTTTTTTTTACTGACACCTTTGTCTTGGTCAGGTCTGATCCTAAATTAATCACAGCAGCAAAATCATAACATTACTCACACACTTCTCATAAAAACACACCTTGCTTTGTCTTCTCTCTTGAGGTGTGTACCATTGAATCACTTTCTGAACTTGCTGTGCCCTCTGTTGGCCACCTCAGGTGTGAAGAGCAGTTATATAAAAGACACCAGTCTACTGGGTTTAAATCAGAATCAAAATATTTATGGTGTCTAGCTTTAAAGTCTACCTTTGAGACAACAAATACACAGACTCTTTTTGTTAGCTGTCTGAGTTATTAGAGCACAATGGTGGACAGTCTGTGAGCAAGACTGGAGCTTTTCTAACCCTTTTCATTTCCTGACATTGAAAAGTATTGATCCGTTTGGTGGGATTACGTTCTGTGTCCAGCAGAAAAAAAAAAAAAAGAAAAAAAAAGAGATGGTCTGCTTTTCTTTTGCAGCTTCCTCACTTTAACAATCAGGTCATCCAGCTGACTCATTGCTTTATGAAAGCTTTAAATATTACCCTTTCCTTTCTCCTTTCTTGTAATGTATAGAAGAGCATTAAAATTGTTTTTTTATTCAAAAGTTCCATCAAAAAGTTATCGAAGCTCAAGCTTTCATTAAAATTCAAGACACCCTTCCTACTATGTAATGCAGAGTATGATGTGCCTAAAGTAAAGATCTGAATGGCATCTAAAAATTCCAAAACCCACATTTGATCTGCATCACTTTGGCATGTTTTTGCTCTTTTAAAGCCAAACTCTCAGGAGCTTGGATGTCTTGGGTGTGGACCATTATATTAGGGCCTATGTCCTCTGACAGCATCATTGCACTGGCAGCACCTGTTTTCTCAGGTAAGAAAAGTACATCAGCATTTCAGAGCTCAGTGTCCCAAGAACAAAACATCTTAAGTTTGGATGTTTTTGTCACTTTAGTTGAAAGATAATTTAATTCGTGAAACACTGCTAGCTTTGCTGTAATCACTTTCTGTCACCAATCAATCAGAATCAAAAAAGACGGCTGAACACCAAGGGAAATAAGCTAATATCAAGCAGTTAAATCACTGGAGTAAATCAGAATACTTAATTTATTTCATCCTTGGTGGAAATTCAGAAAGATCTAGTGATAGTAAGTGGAATTTAAAAGTGATTTTCGGGGTGTGTGTGGATACGCATCCACACACACCCCTGCACAAGAAAACACAGTTAGAGGACACAGGCCCTTAAAGGGTGACATTTCCTGCTTGTGAATGCAGCTTTTATCTTCACAGTATATTACCATGCAGAGTCACCATGGTGTTAGCACAAATTTTATGACCAATGCAATTTTCTTGCTCTACATGATTAGGACTTTTCTGACCTCTGAATCATGCTGTGCTTAATTGCAGAGATATTACAAAGTATCTGGTACACAGGAGGTGCTGAAAGGCATCATAAAGGCACAGAAAATTTCTACTTTTCACAGTTAAAATAGCAAAAAATCAAGGTTTACAATGTCAAACATGCCTACTTTTAAAAACTCTTGCTCAGATGTAATCATAAAGAACTTCATTGTTTTGTTGAGTTTTACAGCTTCATATAACTATCTCCAGGAATCAGCTTTTTCCTGCAATAAAGTCAAAAACCTGGTTTATGTAGCTTGATTAACTAATGCAAGACAAAGTTTGTAGCACCAGAGACAAAGCTTGTGTAGATTATGGAGGATTTATCAGCTCAGTGATGTGATATAAGTGTGATATTTCCCTCTGGAGTTGTTGGAAAAGACAAAAAAGCAACCACGACTGCAGTGAATGTGGCAGCGGTTTGTGTTTATGAGGTGATCAGGCACACCTCGACTCCAAAGGAACATTGTGGTATCAGTGTCTGTTTGATATGTTAATAAGCAGCAGTTTACCCACATTTTTGCTTGACTTCTTTCTGTGTAAATCTGTTTGTTCCACAGGCTTTATTAAACACGCATGTAATCTCAGCAATGTCACCAATTAGTTTCTGAAGAAAGGTTTTTGGAGCTCGTCTGAGGTGGTTACCATGGTGGAAAAGCTGACTCATCTAAACTTTCTGTCTGCAAAAAACTACATTGCACTTGCCTGTCAGTTAACACCGCTGCACAGTGAATGCAGCCAATGTTATCTAACTAATTGGTTTGTGAACTTTGTTTTTTGAGGATTGTACTTGCTGCTCTGGTCCAAATAAACACCTGCCAAGCTCCAAATCTGGGCATATTATCCATTTGATGAGTATTCGTCAGACTTCTGTGTGCAAGTAGATATTGTGCTGTAATTATGTAATTATGCAAATTTCTATTAATTGGGTCTCCCCCTTTTGTAGATGAAGTCCAACTTATTTAGGTGTACACTTGGATAATAAGTTGGACAATAGGATGCAGGGCGTCTGGACAAACTAGCGATAAAAGCTGGTTCTGTGGTTGGAATCAAGTTGGACTCACTGGAGGATGAGTTAGAGAGATGCACACTGAGGACGGTTGAGCCTTTGCTAAAAAACATGGATCATCAACTTCATAACACTTTGATGAACCAAAAAAAAAAAAAGGGGGTGGATGGCTCTTCTCACTGAAAGATAGGAAATGAAAGAAATTCATTTTAACTCTCCCTCTGAGATTAGAAAACGAGCATAATCAGTTTCTCCTCTGTAATCCTCTGAAATTGGAGTCGCCCTCTGCTGGCCTATAGAAAGAACGCAGGTTAAGGCCTGGTTTTGTATTCTTAAACAAGAAACTTTATCCTCCCCCCTGAGTACTGTCAATGGCATTCCTTTTTAAGCTTATTCACTTTCTGTGTTTCTTTGTATTTTTTTTTCACATTGTGAACATAATTTACTATCTTTCTCTGTATATTGTCAAAAATGACCAGATCTCTGATTTTATAACTAAATAGGACATCAACCCAAAAGGTGACTGGCTAAATAATAACTTATTGCAGGTTTACAGTTGTGGTGGGTGATGTTTGATGATGTGGGGACTCTTAAAGTCTGTGCAGCCATTGTACATTTGCCTGCTTTGCATATCCTTGATCTGCTGTCCTTGAATTGCAGGTCACAGCTCTCCGACTTGATACAAAGGCTTTTTTCTTTCTGTTGTCTCCTGTCTTTATTAATTCTCTGTGTTTCAGCACAATTTGTTCACTCATAACTTGAACTGTGCACCCATCCTTGCATTTTTAAAATAAAGAAACTTTTGATCTTCAGACTTGTGTCTTAAAGTTTAAAGAAAAAGAAAACTAAAACAATTCAATTCATTGCACCAGCTGGCCCCTCATTGTCTCTCTTGCATGTATGAGCAGCCAATAATCTGGAGGATCTTATTGCAAAGAAATGTCAATTATTTATCGATTTGAAGGTGGTGAACCCATGAATTTTATAAACAACTTGTATAAACAACTTTTTTTTAGGGATAAAGCAAAACTCATGCATACAATCACAAAGGGTACTGAATACTGGAGATAAAGCAGTCTGCTGCATCATCTTGAGTCACATCAGCACTAACCTGACCTATTTGCAAGAGCAGCCAATAGCTGGCATGCAGTGGTGGAGCTAGACTTTTACTCTTGGGGTGACCAGAGGCTGGCCAAGGCTATTTAAGTGGGTCCACAGACAATGACAATGGATTTTTTTCTTGAACAATTAATTGCAGTCAGAGGGCTCTATTTCCATGAACGCCGGTGAGGCGGCGGAGGGTGGCGGACCCCGTGCAGTTGTATTTTCGTGGACTGAGGCACACCAAGATCCGCCGAGCTGGGCATGGTGGCGTGGCAGGGGGAGGTGTCGACAGAATCAGTGGGCGCAGTGAAATTTTCTTGCTCGCCAGTGGCGTATAAAGTGCGCTGAAAGCCCGCCGATTCAAAACTGGTCAGCTTTCAGCGCAGCTGGTGTAGTGGTATTTTGGTAGACCGGCGGCGTATCGGCATACGTCACCGATGCCTCACTGGCAGGTTTCCACAGTGTCAGGCACATTTCAGTGCAATAAATAATCATCAACAACTATTATTCTGAGTCAGCACATACATTTAGATCTATATCGATATATTCTGTTCTATATCTGATCTGATGAGTGCATTTGGCACGCGTTTGGACACACAACCTGACCGAATCAACACAGCAGAAACTGCATTAAATTAAATTAAATATCTAGTAAATAAACACACATGATGAAGTTAACAAGATATGTGATTCGTCTCCCTCCTTTTCTTTCTTCCTCTTGTTGTATCTGGTCTGTCTGTGATGTGTAAATGCAGAAGGAGGCTTCGTGACACTGGCTTGCTTGTATAAGAGGAGTTTATTATAAAGACAAAACCAGTATCAGAACAGCACCGCAGTTGCTGGGAGAGGACTGCCAATGATGTCCAGCTCTTCCAGACCAGAGTTTGGGCTCCTGTTATACAGGGTCAGAGATGTAGGTCCTCCTACATCTCCCAAGGTATCTTTGTTACCATCTGATTTTTTATTTAGCCTAGAACTGTGACCTGTGTCCTGTGACCTGCAAAACTGCAGCTTCCAGGATATTCGATCCAGGTACCATAAAAGAGACACAAAAAGACACAAGCCCTCATTCCACAATTGGTCAGCTCAGGCTATTCCTGAGCAATGCCTCAAATCCTTGTATGGTGGTGCAGTACTCCAGATACCACATACACACTACGGGCTGACTCCTCCTCCCTCCTCCTGACTGGTGAGCGTGCGCATTGCTTCATTCCCTTCCTTGCTGTTGAACTGTGTGTAGCGTTTCGTTTCCTCCTGAAAGCGCTCTCTTGCTGTTTTGGTTTATTTTCTATCTGTAATTTATCAGTACATCTGTCTGTTTAGAAAGTCTGTAAGTATTTCTGATAGTTTTCACCAAGCACTGTTTTTATCTCCACTCCGGGCGATCTCTCTGACCATTTACTCTATCAGCTCCTAGCTTAGCTTCTCTTAGCTACACTTGCTAACGATGGCTTCCCCCCGGTCGCCTGCTTCTCCTGCTCGCTTCTGCTCAGTGTGTCAGATGTTCAGTTACTCCTCGTCCTCCTTAGACGATAACGATACCTGCTTTAAGTGTAGTTTATTCTTAGCTCTGGAGACGAGGATTACAGAGTTAGAAAAGCGGCTCCGCACCGATGCTAGTGTAGCGATAGCCAGCCAGGACTCGGTAGCCGGTGCGGGTCGGCCTAGCTTAGCCTCCCCCCCGGCGAATCCCGAGCAGCCGGGATGTAGTAGTGGTTGGGTCACTGTGAAAGGGAAGCATAGCAGTAGACCTAAGAAGCCCACGGTAGACCACCACATTCACACTTCAAACAAATTTGCCCCTCTCAGCAACACACCTGCTGAGCCTGACGCTCTTGTGATTGGAGACTCTGTAGTCCGAAATGTGAAATTAGCGAAGTCAGCGGCCATAGTTCAGTGTCTCCCGGGGGCCAGAGCGGGCGACATCGAAGGTAGTTTAAAACTGCTGGCAAAGGCTAAACGTAAATTCCGTAAGATTGTAATACATGTCGGCATAAATGACTCCCGACGCCGCCAGTCGGAAGTCACTAAATTGAACGTGGAATCGGTGTGTGAATATGCCAAGACCATGTCGGACTCCGTAGTTTTCTCTGGTCCCCTGCCCGATCAGACAACTGATGAGATGTGTAGCCGTATCTCATCATTCAACCGCTGGCTGTCGAGGTGGTGTCCGCAAAACGGCGTGAGCTTCATTGATAATTGGAAGTCATTTTGGGGCAAGCCTGGTCTGATTAGTCGGGACGGCATTCATCCCACCCGAGATGGAGCGGCCCGTTTATCCAGAAATCTGGACGATTTTATTAATCCGAACCACTGACAATTCAAAGCAGAGATCAGGGAGCAGGGCCGCAGTCTTACACGCCCCCCTGCGCCTCTTTTAGAGCAGCCTCCCAGCCACTACCACTTATACACAGAGACAAGGGAGCAGAGCCGCAGTGTAAAACGCCCTTCTGTACTCCCTTCAGAGCAGCTTCCAAGCTACAATCAGCTTGACTTAGAAATCAGGGAGCAGAGCCGCAGTGTAAAACGCCCCTCTGTACTCCCTTCAGAGCAGCTTCTAAGCTACTCTCAGCTTGACATAGAAATCAGGGAGCAGAGCCACAGTGTAAAACGTCCCTCTGTACTCCCTTCAGAGCAGCTTCCAAGCTTCTCTCAGCTTGACATAGAAATCAGGGAGCAGAGCCACAGTGTAAAACGTCCCTCTGTACTCCCTTCAGAGCAGCTTCCAAGCTACTCTCAGCTTGACATAGAAATCAGGGAGCATAGCCACAGCTCTACACGTTCCTCTGTACTTTTGTTAGAGCAGCCTCCTAGCTACTGTCACTTTAATATAGAGACTGTGTCTGTCCCTCGTACTCGGCTCTCAAATTCTAACCGATCAATTAAAAAAGGAGTAAATAACAAGAACCTTACTAGAATTAAGACTGTTAACATAGCTGAACCAAGTACTAGTAAGATAAAATGTGGCCTACTGAATATAAGGTCTCTAAATTCAAAATCTGTGTTAATAAATGAACTAATCTCTGATCATCGCATTGATTTACTCTCCCTAACCGAAACATGGCTGCGTAAGGATGAATATGTAAGTTTAAATGAATCCACTCCTCCTAGCCACCTAAACTTTCACATTCCTCGAGACTCCGGCCGAGGTGGTGGAGTTGCAGCTATCTACAATTCCAATCTTAGAATTAACCCAAGACCAAAACTAGATTATAACTCTTTTGAAAGTCTCGTTCTCAGTCTCCCGCACCCAGCCTCAAAGTCCATGAGACCACTGGTATTTGCTATAGTTTACCGCCCTCCGAGCCCATACTCTGAGTTTTTGTCAGAGTTCTCAGAGTTCCTATCCGAATTAGTCCTTCTCGCAGATAAAGTCATCGTCGTCGGTGACTTTAATATTCACATAGATGTGGAAAATGATAGCCTAAGCATTTCTTTTCGGTCCTTGCTAGATTCAATTGGGTTTACACAGTGTGTACATAGACCTACGCACTGCTTTAACCACACTCTCGATCTCGTCCTGACTTATGGCCTCGAAACTGATGCCCTGTTAGTCAGCTCATTAAATCCTCTATTATCTGATCACTGTCTAGTAACTTTTGAATTTGTGCTCTCAGGTTACTTTCCTCACAACAAAGTCGTGCTAACTAGAAGGTTGTCTGAAAATGCTGTTACTAAGTTCAAGGAGGTAATTCCGTCTGCTCTAAATTCTGTAGTTGAGAAAAACTTTACTGATAGCTCATATTTAAACATCAGTCCCTTGCAACTCGACCAGTTTGTTGATGATACCTCAGGCACACTGCGATCAGTTCTAGACTCAGTTGCCCCTCTTCGACAGAAAACTATTACACGCGAGAGGCTAGCCCCGTGGTATAATGCTGAAACCCGTGAGCTGAAACAGTTATTAAGAAAATGTGAAAGGATTTGGCGCTCCTCCAAAACAGCTGAAGCTCGTTTTCTCTGGCAGGAATGTCTCGATAAATATAAGAAAGCCCTACGACGTGCTCGGACAACCTACTACTCGTCTCTTATTGAGGAAAATAAGAATAACCCCAGATATCTCTTCAGCACTGTAGCCAGGCTGACAGACTGTCCGAGCACCACTGAACCATGTATCCCATTAGCCCTTAGCAGCAATGACTTCCTGAGCTTCTTCAATGATAAAATCTTAAAAATAAGAGGTAAAATTAGTAACCTATTGACTCCACCAAGTGTCTCTCTCTCAGATAACCCTAAAAATGCTGAGGAGCCCCTAAGGCCTCTGGTGCACCTTAGTAATTTTGTACCTATTGACCTTCCTGAGTTAAAATCAGTGGTGCTAGCAGCCAAACCATCGACGTGTCTCTTAGACCCAATTCCATCTAAATTGCTGAAGGAAACTCTTCCTTTGATTAGTACGTCCCTGCTCAAAATGATTAACACGTCTTTATTAACAGGATATGTTCCCCAGTCTTTCAAGACTGCATTGATTAAGCCTCTCCTTAAAAAACCTACTCTAGACTCAAGCTCCCTAGCTAACTATAGACCAATATCCAACCTTCCTTTTATTTCTAAAATCCTAGAGAAAGTTGTTGCGAATCAACTCTGTGATTTTCTCCATAACAATGGTTTATTAGAGGATTTCCAGTCTGGGTTTAGAACCCATCACAGCACAGAGACTGCTCTGCTAAAGGTGTCAAATGACCTACTCATGGCCTCAGACAATGGTTTTCTCTCTGTTCTAGTCCTGTTAGATCTTAGTGCAGCATTTGACACAATTGACCACTCCATCCTGCTTCAGAGACTAGAACAATCTATAGGCATAGCAGGATCAGCTCTCTCCTGGTTTAAATCGTACCTAACAGATCGATCCCAGTTTGTCAATGTAAATAATAAATCCTCTGCACACACCAAAGTGTGCTACGGTGTGCCGCAAGGGTCAGTGCTCGGTCCAATCCTCTTCACCCTGTATATGATTCCGCTGGGTAAAATTATGAGGAAGTATTCGATTAATTTCCACTGTTATGCAGATGACACCCAGCTATACCTATCCATAAAGCCAGAGGAAGCAGGCCAGGTTGCTAGGTTAGAAGCCTGCCTCAAAGATATAAAATCCTGGATGACCAATAACTTTCTAATGCTCAATTCAGACAAAACTGAAGTTCTGGTCCTCGGTCCTAAACACCTTAGAGAGGCGTTCTCTAGTAATTTAGCTACATTTGATGGTATCAGCCTGGCATCCAACCCCACTGTGCGTAATCTAGGAGTTGTATTTGATCAGGATTTATCTTTTAGCTCCCACATTCAACAAATTTCTAGGACAGCCTTTTTCCACCTGCGCAATATCTCAAAAATTAGACGCATATTGTCTCAGAGCGATGCAGAAAAACTAGTCCATGCCTTTGTTACCTCTAGGCTGGATTACTGTAATTCTCTCCTATCAGGCTGCTCTAGTAAGTCATTAAGGACTCTTCAGCTGGTCCAAAATGCAGCAGCTCGGGTATTGACTAGAACTAGTAGAAGGGAGCACATCTCCCCTGTTTTAGCCTCTCTTCACTGGCTCCCTATTAAATATAGAATTGAGTTTAAAATCCTCCTTGTGACATATAAAGCGCTTAATGGCCAGGCGCCATCATATCTCGACGAGCTAGTTATACCGTACTTTCCATCTAGACCGTTACGCTCACAGTCTGCAGGTCTGCTCGTTGTACCAAATGTCTCTAAAAGTAGTGTTGGAGGAAGAGCTTTCAGCTACCAGGCACCTCTCCTCTGGAATCATTTACCGCTCGAGGTTCGGGGGGCAGACACACTCTCAACTTTCAAGAGTAGACTTAAAACGTTCCTCTTTGATAAAGCCTATAGTCAGGGCTGATTTGAACCAGCTCTTAGTTATGCTGCTATAGGCCTAGACTGCCGGGGCTATCTGGCACACTGAGCTAGAATCTGTCTCTATCTCCTCTTTAGATCTTTATGTCCCATATAAGTCACTGACCAGTTTTCTGTCTCTCTGAGTGTCTCTGAGTCTTTTAGCTGCCACTGGACTAATGCTGCAAACGGTCTGCTGCGGAACTGCCTGACCCCAGCTGCATCCATCCTGGGCCCTGAGCTCCTCCATCTCTTTGGCTCTTTGGCTTCTCTGGACCGTTGCTGCAGAGACCCCCCCCCGGCCCTGAGCTCCTTCTTCTCTCTGATTCCTCTGGACTGTTACTGTTACTGCAGACATGAACATCAGCCTCACTGTCATTATTGACATACAAAATAGAACTGACTACGATTAAGCCTGCTAACTGTAATCACACTCAATTAATTCAACATTGTCCATTATTTCTCATATCCTAAACCTGTAAACTGAACGTCTTTTTGTTTCACCATTACATGAGCTGTTGTCGTTGTTGCTGTTGTTCCTGCTGCCTCCTGTCTCTCTCTCACCCTCGTTCCCTACTCTCTCTCCCTCCCCCTCCCTCTCCGTACTAATTCTCTCTCGCCTTTCCCCTATCTTCCTGTCTCTCTCCCTCCCCCTGTCCTCTCCCCCTCTCCCCTCTTCTCTCTACATTCCCCCCCAACCCAGCAGCGGCATGGTGGCTGTCTAGCATGAGTCTGGTCCTGCCCAAGGTTTCTGCCTGTTAAAAGGAAGTTTTTCCTTGCCACTGCTACTCATGTTAGTTGAGATGGGCCAAAACCCATCTTAGGTTGGTTCTTGATCATCAAACAATGAGCGTGGTCTCGACCTGCTCTTGTTCTTTGGAAAGCGTCTTGAGATGACGACTGTTGTGAATTGGCGCTATATAAATAAAATTTGATTGATTGATTGATTGATATCTCCCCCTTTTGAGACTCCATAGAGTCTCAAAAAAAGGAAACACATTTTCACATTTTCAATTTACTACTAAATTTTTGGAGTGTGAGAGCGAAAACCTGTCAGTCAGCTATCTTTCCATTGTTATCCATCAAACAATCTAGACAGGAAAAAGTCACTCTCGGTCCCTCTGCCCTAGGCGACCACCTATTGTACTCCAAGCCGATTGAAAAATAGGGGTTAGACTTTATGTGAAAACACAATGTGAAGCAAATATTCTTGGGAATCTCAAAAAATAAAAGTTTAAAAATGAACTATGAATCACTAACCACCCTTCCATACTTTTCATTCTTCCTATACTGTCTGGTATTGACATGTACATTAAATACAACACAGAGAGATTAATTGACAGTCATATCACAGACTACACACTAACAAAACTCCACTCTTAGATAAATGAATAATAATTGTTGCTCCTGAACGTCCTTGGTTGCTTGTATAGTGTTCTTTCCATGGGTTTCCTATGTTTGGATATCCAATGCAATGTCCTTGTTCCCATTTTCTGTCCGGTTTCAGTTTCTGTTTTCATTGTCCATGCTTGCTTGTCCTTGTAGGGATGTGTGGGTCCGTTAAAGCTGTTTAAATCACCGGAGAACCACCTTTCTTGAGCTGGTCTCCTCACCTGCTGTCCTGGGAGTGGCTGGTCTCTCCAACTGCTATTCTGAGAATGAAAAAATCAAGCAGTATCTTGCAAAAAACATAATTTTTTGTTTGTTTGACATGTTTATTCTGTTCCCCCCTAAGTAATACTCCCCTTTTACATTATCAAAATTTAAAATATACTACTAAAAACTAAACCAAATAAAATACATCACACCCCCATTTAAGACTAAAAGTAGATGATAGTCTAAGAATACATCAGAGAAAGTAAATAATCAAAAAGGATATTGTTCAATGAACATTTCTTCCAGCCCCACTTCTTCTTTGTCTTGGTCATTACTGTGTAGTAGTGGAATTTGTACATTATCTCCTGGCAATACCACTCCAACCCATCTAAGAATCATAGCTTTAGCAAAGGTTAATAATATCATACAGAAGCAAAACATAACACATAACAATAAAATAACTGCTGCCAGGATTTGCACCACCACAGCTCCCATGGGGCCGAATTGTTCCTGCAACCACGCGTTGGCTGATTGGTCAACTCCTGATGATGGACCAAATGCATCTCTAATGAGTTTCAGTGCATCTACAACACTTGTTATGTTGTCAGAGCTATCAGGTATCAACGTAGAACAGGCTTCTCCAGTCAGGTTTAGTGCAACGCACAGGCCTCCTTGTTTGGCCAAAATGTAATCTAGGGCCATGTCATGTTTCAACAACGTAAGTCTGTGACTCCTCTGAGTGTTTGACAGATATTCAAAGCCTTTTATTGTTTCATTTGCAAAACCTTGCAAAGTGTAAGTGATATTATCAATATGATCAGCTAAAAATGTTACTCCATACCAAGGAAGCAATCCTATACCCCATTTCTCTCCTAAACTTATTCTCCAATGGTATGCCTCTAAATTATGGAATTGTGCTAAATCTCTTTTTGTCCTGCTCTCAGGTGTTTCATTGGGGTGTATCTCATTTGATTTTTGTCCTTTCTGAATAACAAGTACATCATATGGAAGTTTCAACTTTGCCATATAACAGCATCCAATCCACCCGTATGGTAGAAATATGTATGCTGAATTACCACAAATCCACCAGATATCTTTAAAATTTCCTATGGACACATTTCCAGGTAAGGTTTGGTACTTCACATCTAAAGTTCTGCAATTTTGTTTGTTTGGTGCATGAAAAGTGACTTTAAATGTTCTGTTATTCATTCTTGACTCACGTCTTTCAAATTGCATCTCATACTTCTCACAGTCTGATATTCCCATGAACATCCCAAATTTTTCTCTTGTGCCATTTGAGCAAAAACAGATTTTAGCCTTTACCGGTGTTACTTCTATTGTATCTGGAACTGCTGTTGTAATATCTTCATGTTGATCATGCAGATTGATATATGATAAGTCTTTTAGCCAAGTGCATGCATGCTGAGGTCTGAATAACTTTATATTTAGTACCATCACCGGATCTGTTGGTGCTCGCTGATTATACATTAGCCATGATAATGCGTATTATTGACAATCTGTAGCTAATGGTTCTGGTACTGTCTCCAAAATTGCAGGCCAAGTGCCTGGAGATGGGATTCTCACTATACATGGACCTTTCAATCCCCTAGCCTTTCTTACTGAATGTGTTAATTGTTGAAACCATAAATTTCTACTTGCCCATGGATCTGCAATTTGCAACACGGACACATCAAACCCAAATGCTTTCCATTTAGTCTCTTGCTTGTGTTGCGCATGTAAGTCATCTGTCATACCTTCTTCTATCCAATTAGTCTCCACCGGGTCATTGACCACATTGGATGTAGTCACTTTATGTGATATGGGCCAGGCTATATCCTTATCTCTGACCTTTAAATGTTGCATTCTGATTCCGTCAGTTAACATATCGCCTGAGTTTATGCTGTCATTCTGATTTAAATTGATTAATTCCTCCACTGTGACAGATGTCATATCTAGTGTTTGTGATGGTTTGCTAGAGTTTGTAGCTGCTGAAATTATCATTGTAAGATTTATTTTTGTTACTACAGTTGCAAGAATAGTACCTACAGTTGATATGCTTGTTCTCTGTATTGTTTTTGGAGTTACTGTGGCCGGTGTCAATTGTTCATAGTATCTCTCAGACAAGGTTACATTATCATACTGGTTTTTGTTCTCTTTAGATACTGTAGCTATTTGACTAGGCTCCACATCTGTTATTACAAGGCTCACCTTATGAGATCTATAGCCTCCTAGCCAATAGTCTTTACTTGAGTTATACTTAAACTCTTTATCATAATATGCACATACATATTCCCCTTGGTCTTCTTTTACAACATCCCGTATGACAAGTGAACATTCAGCCATCACTTGAACCCACTGCATGTCGTTGTATAATACATACTTTCTTTGATTATGATGCACACTTTCACCTTCAGGTCCTGTTGTTATTATTTTTTCACCTCTTCTACCTGTCCAAATGGGGAAGGTTTTCCCAGTTTTCCATTCGCCACATATACATGGAAGATAAACCTTACTTCCTGGTTTGGCCTCAATCACAGTTTTCATGGGTTTTGCAGTTGTAGGAGTCAAATGGGGTATGCTTGTAACTGTATTTGTAACCTTAACTTCTTTCACTGCTATACTGGATGACGTTTGGTTTGTTTTCTCACTCTGATGTTCATTTACTACTGTGTTCACTTCACTGTTAGTCCTCATAACATTTTGGTCTGATTCTTTTTCTGACTGGTCTGGGGCTCTTAGCTCTACAGTATGTGGCTCTGTGTCTTCTCTTGTGGAGTCATCACCTCTCTCTGGTGTCTGCGATGACTTGGATTCCACGATACTAGATTTGGCTGTTTCTGGGACGTGTTGGAAATCAATATCATTGAATCTTTTTCCCTGTTCAATGACTGGAGCGTCATCTGTGGCATCATCAGAAATATGATCCAAATCATCCTGACCCTCTGCCATGTGCTTACTTTCTCTTTCTGTGTTTTGATCTTGAGGTTCCTCAGATACCTCTGTTTCATCTGTACTTTCTTCTGTTTCTTTAGAGGTGTCAACATCTCCTTTCTGTATGTGTACAGCCTCTTTTCTTGGTTCTTTGACACAATGTGACAAATGATACCTCGTTGGAGATCCTTTAACCTGGACCGCCGTTCCAGTGCTGCGAACAACTTCAAATGGTCCTTGGCGGCGTTCATTAAACCATTTTCTCCTAAACACCTTCACGAACACTTCGTCTCCTGGTTGCACTGTATCCTTGGTATCCTTGTTTTGTTCATCAAGCTTCTCTTGCACTTCATCTTGTTTTTGCCTGTCAGAAATATATGTAGATATTCTCTTATGCAGTGTGGCCATATATTTGATGTATGCTCGCATTTCATCCTCCAGGAGGGTTAAACTTGGACCCTTCCCACTTGTACGTAAACATGGCGTTGGCATCAGTCTACCTGTAATCAACTCATGAGGTGTCGTGTAGATCACGAAGTCTACTTGATCGACATGCCATCAATGCAAATGGGAGTGCTGCAACCCAATTAAGACCTGTGTGCCGGCAAATCTTAACCAGACGGTTTTTTATCACCCCATTCATTTTTTCGCAGATACCTTGGCTTTGCGGATGGTACACAGCTCCCAAATGTTGTTTAATTCCTAGTTTTTGTAAAATCAATCGCACCGTTTTATCCACAAACTCTTTTCCATTATCTGAGGATATGCGATCTGGAAGTCCCCATCTGCTTATGACTTCCCTACACAAGAACTTGGCAACAGACTGAGCATCCTTCCGCTTGGTTGGACAAGCTTCGGGCCATCGTGAAAATCTGTCAAGTACCACTAGCATGTACTGGTTTGATCATGTCGACAAAATCCACAACCAGTTCGCACATAGGACCAGTTGGAGTTGGGATATAACCAGGAGGAACCAGTACTCCTTTCCGAACATTGTTCTTAAGACAGATTGTGCATTTGCTTATGACATAATCAATTTGCTCAAGCAAATATGGTGCCCAAAAACCATGCTCCTTTATGATTTTTCTTTTAACTTCTCCCCTTGCCATGGTGCCCAAAAACCATACTCCTTTAAAATTTTTCTTTTAACTTCTCCCCTTGCAACATGTGCTAACCCATGTGCCTCCTGAATCATTAATCCAAGTAGGTCTGGAGGTGCCCACATCAACCCCTCATGATTCCTCCACAAACCTGTGGCATCTTGTGTCGCGCCCCGGTCACACCATAACTGTTTGTCTATTTCAGATGCCGCTTCTTGCATTGAGACTACATCTCTGAGGGTAATTTTATCTTCCAAGTTTATTTCTTGAGTGACCAGCAGAACTTTGCCTTCTTTATCTGCCCCTGTAACAGCGTTTGCAGCCTCATCAGCTGCTCTGTTGCCCTGAGTTACTCTTGACATGTCGCCTTTATGTGCTGCACACATAGCTATTGCTATTTCTTTAGGCTTCATCATTGCGTGCAGCAATTTGGTTATCTGGGCATGATGCTGTATAGGAGAAACATCTGTTTTCCTAAATCCCCGATTTTTCCACAGTGCTCCGAACAAGTGACAAACATTATGTGCATATGCCGAGTCTGTATAAATTGTCACTCGTTTTCCTTCCGCCAAAAGACATGCCTCAGTCAGTCCTACAAGTTCAGCTAGCTGTGCAGATGCTGGTTGTTGCACTATTTCTGCTTTTTCAACAACAAATCCATCTGCTTCAGCTTTTGCAATTGCATAGCCAGCACTCAATTTGTCTCCAATCCGATAACAGGACCCATCAGTACAATACTCTACGTCTGCCTCCTGAAGTGGAAGGGCTTGCAAGTCTGACCGTAGTTTTGAATATCTCTCTGATTCCCTCATACAATAATGTTCCTCCCCATCTTCTGGAGTTGGCAGATCCTCAGCTGGATTTACTGTGTTACACTTCACCAAGGTGACATCTTCTTGCTCTAAAAGTCTATGATAACTTTTGAGCCTAGGCATAGTCAATGTAAATTTACCATAATTCAAAAGGTTTCTGAGACTATGATGAGTAAGAATTGTCACTGGGTACCCCATTGTTACAGGTGATGCTGTGGTATACATGAGATGAACTCCCACCATAGCTCTATCACACAAAGGCATCCCCAACTCTACTTCTGAGAATGCGGTTGAATAATAAGAGATGGGTTGAGGGCTTGTTCCTGTTTCTGTTGGCTGACAAAGGACTGCACAGGCATATTTACCCCCAGTTGAGGTAGATACATACAACAGAAAATTCTTGGAGCAGTCTGGGAGTGCTAGCGCTGGAGCTTCTTGCAGTCTTTGTTTGATAGTTTCAAAGGCTATCAGACCCTCCTGTGTCCAAATATGATTACAATGAAGTTGTGCATTTCCAGTTTCCTTAATCATAAAACTACCAATCCATCAACCTAAATTTATTATACACAATTCCCCTTTACCATGGTATACCATTTAAAAGTTTCACACAACAAATTTTGTATCTTTCTTTCTGTTCTCAGGCCTGTAAGAAGAGAAAGAAAGGGGGAGGAAAAGCTCCCTAGATTCTTCCAATCTTAAACTAGGACTTTCCTTCTAAACATGATCATCAGCAAGTGACCATCAACTTTAAACATTCATACACACACAGAGAAAAACCGCACCCATCAGTCAGCAAATCACTCCATTTTACCACACTCTTTTACTCTGTTTTTTTCCTGTATCTGTATGAACACAAATGTCCTTTCTGGTTTTTACACTTCTTTGATTTCAATATT